CAACTGTTTCTTACAAAAATTAGACATTTGTTCAGTGCTGTTTATGCTCCATCAGCTGTTTGTACCAGGGGCCAGCAACCTCATTAGCCCTGAGAACCACCAGTTTGGCTAAACAGAGCCCTGAGGGTGCCCTGCACAAGCCTGCGGTATGGGTGGGGGGTAGGACAGGAGAAAATGGGGAGGGGAGGAAGAGTGTGTACTGTATTACCTCGAGGATTTTGTTCAGCTTTGATAAGCTGTGAGGGTGGAGGAGAAGAGGGGAAATACAGAGGGAAAATGGGAAGATGGGTAAGAGAGAGAAAGAGGGAGACTGGGCAATGAAGACAATCCATCCTTCAATCAATAAACATTTACTAAGTTCCTAAAATGCAGTAGGCCCTGTGCCATGGGCTGGGAATATAAACTCCTGCTTTCAGGATTCTTGCATTCTTTTGAGGAAAGCAGCATGTACTTTTGAAAGTATGGGGGGGGCAACTAGGTGGCACAGTGGATAAAGCTCTGGCCTTGGAGTCAGGAGGACCTGAGTTCAAATGTGACCTCAGACACTTAACACTTACTAGCTGTGTGACCCTGGGCAAGTCACTTAACCCCAATTGCCTCACCAAAAAAAAAAGTATATGGGATATGAGGGGCAGGTGGATGATGCAGTGGATAGAGCACTGGCCCTGGAGTCAGGAGGACCTGAATTCAAATCTGGTCTCAGATACTTGACTCTGGGCAAGTCACTTAACCCTGCTTGCCTCACCAAAAAAAAAAGTATATAGAATGTATACAAAAGAAATACAAGGCAACCTCTTTGAGCAGAAGAGTTACTTGTTAACAGTGTATCTTACAAGGTTTCATGTAGAAGGTGGTGCTTCGTAAGGATTTTGAAGGAAACGAGGAATTCTTATTTCCCAATTTTTAAAAATAGATTTTTATTGATCTCTTGTGTTTCACATCACTGCATTTTCCTTTGTTTCCTTTGCCCTGCCCTATCCTGGAGAAACATCCCTTATAATAAAGAAGAAAAGAAAAAGGAAGAAAAAGAAATTTCAGCAGAACAATCATGTCCAACAAAGTTTGACATTCCATGTGGTATTGAACACCCAGAGACGCTTGCTTGTGTCAGGGAGCAGGGAGTAGGTCCTTCTCTTCTTCAGGGCCAAACTTGTGTTCGACAGCTTCGCGATGCTCTGGTTCCATCGTTTTGTCCTTGTTCTCGCTCCTTCCATTTACATTGTTGTGGTCGTTGGGTATGTGGTGTCCCCTTACTTTACTTTGCATCAGTTCAGATAAGTCTTTCTATGCTCCTTTCTATTTAGCATATTCATCATTTCTTATACCATAGGAATGTTACGTACATCCATGGACCACAACTTGTATGTCTAATTCAAGGTCAATGAAGAACAAAGAATTCTAAGAGACAGAGACAGAACCAGAGATAGGAAGGCAGAAGGAGTATGGGAAAGAAGGGACAGAAGAGAAACTGGCAGAGAGAGACAAAGAGGAGGGAAAGAAAGGAGAGAGAGAAGGAGAGAAGATGGAGAAAGAGAGACAGAGAGAGAGAAAGAGTGAATGAGAGAGAGAAGGAGAGAGGAGGAGGGTAGGGGAGACAGAAAAAAGAAGAAAGTCAGGAGAGGGTTGTGTTATGTAGGGTAGTGGAGGAAAAAAAGAGCCCTGGACTTGCAGCTAAGACCCTTGGATGTGAATCTGGGCTCTACCACTCAGTCCATGTGTCCCTGTGGTCAAATTATTTGACTTCTCTGGGCCTCAGTTTCTCCCTTTGGAAAAAGAGGATAGTAATACCTGCACTCATAGAGCTATTGCAAAGAATGTGCTTAATGTACCTTAGAGTAGCATAGAAATATGAAAAGGGAGAATATAAAAAGGTAGATGGTGTGGAGTGATAGATATTAGAGAATTATAGACTACCAAAACAAAGACTTTAGAAATCATTCAGTCCAAATCCCTCATTTTACAGAGGATAGATCTGAGATCTGTGGAAGGGAAATGACTTACCAAAGTCATGAAGGATAAGGACAAGAACATAGGCCTCTTAGCTTCCAGGTCAAGGTTCTTCCTACTATGGATGGAGCTTAATAATTACCTAGAGTGTTTTATTCTATATCCCCCACCCAGCTCTGACATTCTCTGTTCTAGGACCCCTCCTAGATCTGACATTCTATGTCCTAAGTACCCTTTCTGCTCTGACAATCTCTGTTTTAAGGTACCTCCTGCTTCTAATGCTCTCTCTTCTAAGATCCCTCCCACCTCTGACATCCTCTGACCTGAGAATCCCTTGTTCCATTTGTTTCCTATACTTTAAGATTCTGTCTAACTCGGACACTCTATGATTCTTTTCGGTGTAAGTGGGAGCCTCCCTGCCAACACGGATGTGACCATTGTGCAGAGGTGAATGGAACTCTGCCTGTTCTTGCTGTACTGAGGAGGGCGTAGGACAAGAGACAAACGCACCCCCATATTTAGGAGCACTCAGGGATGACCCAACAGAAGGACATCGGCCGGGAGCTGAGATTCTCTCCATTGTCCTTCTCCTTCTCTTCCTGCCTTGTGCTGCATTTGGTGGCTCCAATGAATAATTCCAGAATTGTAGTCAGTGCTTACTAAGTACAGAACACAGTTCTAGCCACATGAATAGATACCAAGCTAAATTAGGCATGGTCTCTGCCATCATGTACTTTACAATCTAGTTGAGGGAAAGACGTAGGAACATGATCGAAGTCAATGTGGTGTAGTTAAAAGATCAATTGGCCTGGGTCAGGAGAGACCTGGGTTTGAATCTCACATCCCGTGCTCAATCCATTAATGTCTTTCAGCCTCAGTTTCCTCATCTACAAAATGGGGATACCAATAGTATCCTTTTCCCAGAGCCATTGCTGGGATCAAATGAGGTAGAGAGTTCAACAAACCTTAAAACGCTATAGAAACATCAGCCGTTATTTTAAAAATAGAATGTGATAAGTGTAGATGGGAGATCATAGGATTTAGAGCTGACTGGGGACCTTGGAGATATTAAGGATAAGTGCCATTTCTATAGGCTGCATGGCATGGTGGATAGAGAGCTGGGTTGGGAGGCAGGATGACCTGGGAAGTCTGCCTCTGACATATGCTGGCTGTGTGATCCCGGGGACAGTGCCCACAGATGAAAAGTTTCAGAGGAGATGCTGAGTTGCATGGGTAGATGGAATTCATAGGATTATAGATTCAGAGTTGAAAGGGACTTTGGAAGAAGCCAACTAGCCCAGTCCCCTCATTTTACAGATGAGTAAACTGAAACTCAGAGAGATTTATGGGACTTTCTCAAGATCATATAGGTTGTAAGGCTCAGAGGCTGGATTTGAACTCAGGTCTTCTGAATCCAGAACCAGTGTTCTGTTCACCACACCACTGGGAGTTCCAGACATTGAAGTCACAAATCTGGTCTGTATCCCCATTTCTAGAATGTTTTAGTGCTTATAAACTGTCCCCAAGACAATCCTATGATCTATGTAGGGAGATTGGGATGTGGACTAGACCCATGATTTCTTTTGTGTAGGAAATTCCCTGATGAAGAAACTCCCTCCACCAATGCAGATTGGTACCTTCTCTGCAACTTAGTTACCTAGAGCACTGGGATATTAAGTGATCTGCCCAAGGTCACACAGCTGGTATGTGTCACAAGCAGGGCTTACACTCAGGTGTTCCTCATTCCAAGACCAGCTCTCTACCCATTATACAACACTGCCTTTCAAGGTGGTGCCAGTATAATTATCTTCCTTTTACATCAAAATAAACTGAGGCAGGAGGCAGTGAAGTGACTTGTCCAGGATCCCAAAGCACAGGCTTGAAACCTATTCTCTTGTCTCCAAGGCTAGGACTTTCTTCACATTGTCTCCATCCCATTTGACAGATCATAGGATCCTAAGTCTAGAACAATTTCTTAGCCTGGAGTCTATAACTTGGTTGTTTTGTTTGTTTGTTTTACATGTTGATAATTATTTTAATATAATCTTTTCCCTTTGTAATGCTACGCATTTTGTGCATTTAAAAACATTATGCTAAGAAGGGGTCCATAGGCATCAGCAGGCTGACAAAAGGGGTCCAGGACACACCCAGAAAGTTTAAGACTTCCTCCTGCTTTAGAGCAGTAGAAAGGGCCAGGGAAGTGAAGCCGTATGTCCAAGGTCAAACTGGTAGTAACTGGCAGAGGCAGGATTTAAATCCAGACCCATGGTGGGAAGAAGCAATGCTCTTTCTATTGCACTACAGCTGTCTCTAGAATGATAGTGGGTCTGCATCATTGGGTCTAGTCAGTCAGTCAATAAGTATTTGTTAAGTGCCTACTATGTGCCAGGCACTGTGACAAGTGCTGAAGTTACAAAGAAAGGAGAAAAAATAGCCCTTAATTGGAGAGGGTGCTTACCAAGCAGAGAAAACTGTTCTGTGAGATGAGGCATAGCTAGCCACATAAACATATACATATAAATATGTGTGTATCTATGTAAACATACAGGTCTGTATATGTACATATATGTTGTGTATGTATGTGCATGTATATATACACATATATACACACAGATATATATTCAGCATCATTCTTGGGAGGGGGTGCTGAGGTGGGGGAGATTAGAGGAGATCTCTTGGAAAGGGTGCCATTAGAGTTGAGACTTGCAGGGTAGGGAAGATTGTTGCAGACTTCCCACGTGGGGATCTCCTGGAGGGGTATGAGGGTGGGGGTGGGGGGTGTCCCCCCAAGGGCCTGCCTGCCCAGATACTGGCTGTCAGTGTCTGCCTTGGGTATCCCGCCCCCAGTCCCCCAGACCTGCTCTCAGCAAGTGGTAGCTGCCCGGGCGCCCCCACCCCCACCCCATCCCACTTGGAGCTAGATCGAAGCCCTGTGCTTTTTCCGACTAGAAGGCCAGTCTTTAAAGAGTTAAGCAGTAGGTAGTGCTGTAGGCCTGCTGAATAGAGTGGCAGCGGAGGGAGCCGCTGCAGCAGCAGCGGAGGAGAGAGCAGAGCCGAGCAGAGCAGAGCCCAGTCAGCCCGATAGAGATGTTAACTAAGCGAGAGCCCGCGAGCCTCCCACCGGAGCATCAGTAGACTCCGCGCCTTGCCCTGCTCCCACGGCCCGCGCCCCCTGCCCACCCATCGGGCCCCCGATCGGTGGCACAGGCTGCATCTCTGCACGGGCAGGCGGCTGCCCGGGATGGGCACGGGCTCTGCCCCCTGCCCAGCCTCGGCTGCGTGAGTGGGAGGCTGCTGCGGCCACCGCTCTAGCCATCCTGGCTCGGGGGGCGCCAGTGCTGCTGCTGCGGCTGCATTGGGGGGCGCAGGCCCCCCACCCCGTCTCCGCTGCTCCCCACAGTTACTTTTCCTCCCCCCTGCGGCTTCTCGCCCGGGCAGGGAAAATAACAGTGAGCTCAGAGCTCAGCTCGGGGAAGAGCTAGCTTCTGTTTTTTTTTTCTTTTAAACACACACACACACACACACACACAATTATACACACGTATACGCACACACGCGCGTACACACACACACACACACACACACACACACACACACGGATCTCCTCCGCGCAATTGCAGCAATCTTAGACCTGGAAGGAGCTTGGGGCAGCACGGAGAGCCCGGCTGGGCTCGAGCGATGAGGGGAAGAGATTGGCTAAGCTCGCTGCACATCTACTGGCAGAGTTGGGAGGCTCCGGACGACCCTACAGGTAACAGGGCAAAGGGGGAGGGGGGGAGTGTGTATTTGGAAAACTGAAAGACAGAGGTGGGGGTGGGCGAGAGGCAAAGGGACCAAACTAAGATCGGAAGAACGGAGGGTTTCATCCCCAGGAACTGGAATTGCATCTCCAGGCAACACCCTCCCCCCCACCATGGGGGTGGGGGAACCGAGCCATTGGTTCATTATTAGTCAGGGATGGCTTGGGGAAGGTGACAGACAGACCTGACCAGGTTCAGGGAGAAACTTTCGCTTCCCCAGGGGAAAATGAAGTGGCATTTGGAGCACAGTAGAGCTCTGTCTGCCGGCAGGCAGCTAGGGGGTTTCTCCACTGCGTGGAACCCGGCTCTTTTTCCGAGGGCGAGATGGACAGTTTTGGAGACCTTATGCCTAAAAAGGAAGAGTGTCATAAAGAATAAATGGGTCCTTTCAGTTACACTTGTTAACAGCCCTATTAAGGGAAATGATAGGGATTGTCTGGGAGGCCAAGTTTGTGGTTGATAATGGGATGTCTTGGAGATTTCTGGAGACGAGACCCTCCACGAGTTTGAGCCAGGCAAGATTTGGGGCAGGTTGGGAAAGACACTAGTCATAGGCACTGTTTGCTATCCCATTTTCTACCAGTACAGAAAACCAAATGTAAGAGATTTGAAGATTAGATGAAATTGTGGACGGCTAACATGGTCGTGCGTGCGTGTGTGTGTGTGTGTGTGTGTGTGTGTGTGTGTGTGTGTGTGTTTGGGTTAGGGGCAGGGGTGTCACAGAACAAGGGGTAAAAAACAACCAGAGCTCTGCTCCTCATCTCTCAAGACGCTCACTCATTGTTCAGAGCCCAAACAGCTGGGGGTCTCCAAAGACCCTGCTGGCTCCCTCAAGTACAAAGCATTGCTACTGGGGAGAGGAAAGGGTGGAAGTCTGCCAGCAAGGAGAAGATTGAATAGAAGGGCTCAAGGTATATTCCCATTCCTCACCCTCAAGAGAAGATTTTTAGAATTGTAAGAGGACCTTCCCAAGCATCTAATTCAACCCCTGTGTTTGACAGGAAAGGAAATTGAGGCCCACAGAGCCTTCAGGGTAGCTCCTCATTGGCGCTGAGGTGGGAGAAGGTCAGAACCTGAGAAGGCCAAACTTTTCTGCAAGTGAAGGGCTGGGACAGGGAAGGTAGTTTGAAGGTGCTCGGGCCTCCAGCCAACGCACAGCACTTTCATCTTGATAGCCCCATGACAAAAGATCCTAGATCTGGGACGGGAAGGGCCCCCAAAGGCCATAATCCTTTCATTTTACATATGGGGAAACAGAGATCCACAGCGATGACCATAGAAGCATAGATTGAGTGCCAGAAGGGCCCTTGGACGCCATCTAGTCCAATCCTCTCCCGTTTGAAAGATGTTAGGATTATAGATTTAGATTTTACAGATGAGGAAATTGAAGCTGGAGGAACTATGGTGGCTTGCCCATGGTCACACAGCTAGGAAGTGGGAAAATCAGGATTCGAACTTACGTTCTCTGTCTCCCAATGTCTCCTGAAGGCTGTACGCCACCCTCCTGGATACAGCCTGCACTTCTTGCTGCACTGTGGCTGGGAGCCATGGGGGCTCAGCGGCCAATGTGTGAGTCTGGCCAGGTGCTGGAGCCCAGCATGATGGATGCTCTAAGAGGACCACCTGCATGGAAGCATCCTTTCTGCCCCGAGCTCCTCCCTGAAGCATTCTTTCCTGAGGCCCTTAGCTCGTTCTTGGAGTTCTAACTCAAGCAGACCTTGCTCTTCTATCCTCCTGTGGGCTAGTCAGTGACAACATGGGGAGAGGCTCTGACCTAGAGTGGGATTGGCTTTCTGCCAAGCCACTGGAAATGTTAACTGGACCTCCCCCCCAATCCCATGCTGGCCCTGAATGAAGAGGGTGATTGTGTCCTGTGGTTTGCCTGAAAGGCAGACATCAGGAAAATGATCCCACTTTGGCCTCTAGACAGGCCAGGGAGGCATTCCTCCAGAGCCAGGGGGTGGGGGATTGCCACCACCCTGGATTGACAAGGCCCCCCCTAGCTGGGGCTAACCTCAGAGTTATTTCTAGAGGACTGCTGAAACCAGGTGTCAAAGGCAGACGCCAATCCCAGACAGCATGGTCAAGTTGTATCAGCTCTGGCCTGGGAGTTGAGAGATGTCCGCTCTTGCCCAGGCTCTGCCACAACCCAGCTGTACCTTGGGCAAATCACTCAACTGCTCGATGCCTCAGTTTCCTCATCTGACAGATGAACCATTTTGGATGAATCTCTGATTTTCTAATGCTCTCTTTTAACACTTACTGTTCTAAGGTCTCTCTCCCCTCTGACATGATATATTCTAAGGCATTGTCCATCTCTAACGTTCCATGCTCTGTTTTCTAAAGTCCCTTCCAGGGACTGAACCATTCTCAGCTCTGACATTTTCTATTCTAAGAACCCACCTAGCTCTGACATTCTCTGTCCCAAGGGCCCTCTCAGATCTAAAATTCGGTATTCTAAGGGCCCACCCAGCTCTGATATCTTGTGTTCTAAGATTCTTTCCCATCACTCACATTCTCTGTTCTAAGGTTCCCTGACATTCTGTGATTCCATTCAGCAGCCACAGCTCAGTCAGGGGCAAGGACGGGTTTACAGATGGGCTTTTCCAGGCTTGTGTTATGGTACCTGTTGTCCTGCTGGGGCCCTGCAAGGCCAAGCCAACTCTGCCCATACCCCAGGTGAGGTCATCCAGCAGTCCCGCCTCATCCCATGCCCAATAGCCTTATCCCTGAAGGCTCCACCTACCCAGCTCCCTATAAATCCCTGAGTGGGGCAGCTGTGTCTGTGTGGGGAGCCCCAGTGGGCAGTGAGGAAGCCAGCTGTGAGAGAGTGGGAGTGCTGGAGCCACCCAGCCAGCTGCTGGGTCACCATGACAACATGAGGTGGAGGTAGGCTGTCTCCAATGGCTTCAGATTTGGGGGGGGGCACTCCCTGGGAGCCAGGTGGAAAGACTCAGTGGCTTTGTGTTGCCAGTAATCCCCACTGCTCATTTGGGCAGAAAGACCTTCCCTGACTGTTTTGCCCAGTTCTAGTGGATGAAGCTTATTGTTTCCAGGCTGGAAAAGGAATATTGGAGAAGAACTTGCAAGCCAAACAGCAGCCTGGGGATGGGGGTTAGGTGATGGAAGCTCCAGTGTCAGTATGGTAAGGGGCAAAACAGTAGGCTGAATGTGTGATCTTGGGCAAGTCACCTAATCCCTCTGGGTCTCAGTTTCCTCGTCTGTAAAATGAGGGAGTTAGAGATGACCTCTGAGTTCCTTTCACCATCCTATGAACCTGGGTCATCCTGACCGTACTGCAAGCTCTCAGTATTCAGCCAGGAAGCTTTTCCCTCTTGTCTGCAAATGTGAATAATACCATTCATGTTTCCTATCTCACAGGGCTGCTGTGAGAAAAAAAAAAGCTTCATCAGTTTAGTAGTGCTAGAGGAAATGAGAGCTGGGATTCTGAGGCGGAAAAGATTTGGGGTCCTTTCCCAAACTGAGGGCATCACATATAGGAAGTATGAACCTGGGGGAAAGCTGGCTCATCTTCACTGACTTGGAGACACTAGGGAAGAAAGGAGAAGCATTGTAGAGATAAGGAAGATTGGGCCTTACCTTTCCCACCCTGGAAAAATGATTTTCTTTCTAGGTAGAGTGGGATTTGGAGCAGCTAGGGGGCGCATGGATAGAGTGCCGGGCCTGGAGTCAGAAAAACTCACATTCTTGAGTTCAAATCTGGCCTGAGACGCTTACTAGTCAGAAACCACTAAACAACAATAGAAGGGGATTCAATTCAGTTTTTATTGTAGTTGTTTCACTCATGTCCAACTCTTCGTGACCCCATTTAGGGTCTTCTTGGCAAAAATACTGGAGTGCTTTGCCATTTCCTACTAATTTTACAAATGAGGAAACTGAGGCAAATAGGGTTAAGGGACTTGCCCAAGGTCACACATCTAGTAAGTCTGAAGCCTGATTTGAACTCATGAACATGAGTCTTCCTGACTTCAGGCCCAGCACTCTGTCCACTACAGCAGCCTATTTATTGAGCACTGGAGAGGCAACCAGACTGATGATCCTAGTTTAAAAGGGGATAGGGGGTGGGTGGGAAGGGAGCAGACACTGTTCCAGGGGCTGAAGATTAAGTGACAAAGATGAAACGATTCCTGACCTCAAAGAGGTTACGTTCTAACAGAGAGATCATGGAACATGAAATGTCAGAGCTAAATAAGACCTTTGAACAGAGAATGTCAGAGGTGAAAGGGTCCTTCAAACACCGCTATGTTACACAGATAGGAACAAAGTAACTCAACGGAATTTCAAGAGGGAGAATGTTACTTAACTAGGGGTCTGGTGTAAGAGATAGCACTGGACCTTGGAAGGCAGCTGGGGGTGGGGTGGAAGGATATTGAGGTATCTCCTTTTCTCTTAGGAGTGAGAAATAAGCATTTATGTAGCACCTCCTATGTTCCAGGCACTGTGCTAAGACTTACCTAATGCTGAACCCTTACTAAATCTCAAACTTTGAATTTTGTGTTTGGTTCTAAATAGTATGAAATAATAATAGCTAGCATTTACAAGAATTTTTGGCAGAACAATAATAGCCAGCTTTAAGGTTTGCAAAGTGCTTTACAAATGAAAGGCAGGTGCTATTAATAACGTATTTTACAGAAGAAGAAACTGAGGCTAAAAGGGAATGAGTGATTTGTTCAGGGTCACAAGCTAGGATGTGTCTTAGGCAGGATTTGAACACAGATCTTCATTACCCTAGGCCTTGTGTTCTATCCATCTGGGCTGAGGGGAGAGAATTTCAGTTAACAAAGGCCACTCTGCTCTGCTTCAAGTCTCCCCACTGGCAATGTCTGTGTATTCATAATCTTATATTTAATAACATTTTCTTTTCCCTCAATTATGTATAAAAAACAATTTAGTTTTTTTAAGTTTTGAATTGCAAATTCTATCCCTCCTT